GACGTAGGTGGGGGAGGGGTTTCTGAAATATAAACTGACTGTTTCAGCTAAAACTATCCGCACGATTGGTTGTATGGCTTCCAGACAATGCAGGGGGCGCTGATGTAGCGTATCATCATCATTCGTTGTCCCTGCCAAAGTCCGACACAAACTTATCAAAATAAAATATATGTTTGTAACAATGTATGATATCGAATTGTCACGCTATTGATGTATTGACAGTCAATGTTGCACGTACGCGTCGTCACACGCTCTCAGGCAAGTGTCATCCACGTTACCTTACAAGTCTGATTGCCAAAATAATGTGGGGGGGGGGCAAAAAGAATCACGCGATCAACACACTAATAGCTACAGATTGAGGGCATTGTTGAAATGAACCTGTTTTTGTTTTTCGAAGTATCGTCTCTATGTCGCGTATGTTATCCTGTTCTGATGTCACCTGTTTTGCTTGAATAACACATGGAACTATAATAATATCGAATAATAACATAACGAATGGAATACAGTTAGGTTTCTGTGGGTCACATGTAGTACATGGAATTCCTGACGTAAATTTATCGTGTAATGATGTTATTAAAAACAATCATTGAAATCATCGTTCCGATTATTTGCATGTCATATAAAAATGTCTTCCCGCTTTACAAACATCCTCAAATGATAGAGCAAAGAAGGCTTTTAGAAATTCATGATGACGGTATATGCAAATAGCTCTAAAATTATATAGCCGTTCACCCCAGCAACAGCTCGAGGGCCTGTGGCGGGGCGAAGGGCTTCTAGAGCTAGTATGCAAATAGCCACGTGCAATTAAACATCATAAACCTAAATTAACTCGACCTTTGCATTTTGAAACATGAGGACACAATTTTTTCGTTACAAGCTGGTTGCTAATCTATGCGTGTCGCGCTACGTGTATTTTTAGCTCATCTGACATAGTCAGATGCAGCTTGTAGAATCGCATGATCGTCCGTCCGTCCGTCCGTCCGGGCGTCCGTCCGTCCGTCCGTCCGGGCGTCCGTCCGTCCGTCCGTCAACAGTTGGGCACAAATCTTAACCGCTCGACGTACGGTCACGATATTCGGCACATTGGGGGGG